GGCTGGGCGGGGGGGCAAAAGCGAGTAAAAAATTGCCCTTTTTCGCTCATTTTTGCCCTCCCAAGCCCCCAGGAGCACTTTGCAGGCCTCCCAAACCCTCTGCATGTCCATTTTTGCTAAGAGAGAGAAGGTTCGGGAGGCCAAAACTGCTGTATTCAGTGTATAAGATGCACCCAGATTTTCAGCCTCTTTTGGAGGGAAAAGGTGCGTTTTATAATAAATAAAAATATGGTATATAGGAAACCTGGTTGGTTGCAAGAAATAGATGTTTGCGGGGGGGGGGGGATGAAGCCTTTGCCCATTTTATGATAGGGAAAGTGAGAATTGGGAATGTCAGGTGTCCCATAAAAGGGAGTTGACTGTCATGGGAATGTGTTCCTGAAGAAGGCTGTGTGGAAGAACCAGAAGAGGAGCAGTCAAAAGTGAAGGGCGCTGAATGAATAAGGGTTGAAAGAAAAGCACGTCTCCAAAGGAGCTACATTGAGATGCTTTGATCACATGCAGAGGACAGAAAAGTCACCAGACAAATGGACGAAAGAGTGAATGAATCAAGAGGAGAGGGAAGATGGAGCAAGTGGTGTTTGGGGTAGATCAGAGTTTGAGAAAGAATTCAGAAATTTAAGGAGCAAAAGACAAGGAATGGAAGCAGTGAATGAATATGGAGGAACCTGTTGTTGTGGTCCTCCAGCAGCCTATGGAGCTTGCAGCAGAGTTGGACAGTGAGGAGGTTGGTGAGGAACATGGGGCAGTCCTGGAGTCTGGGGAAGGCTCTTTCTTGGAAGGAATTTTGAGAGTTTGGAGAAAGAAGAATTTGGTGGTGTGAGAACACGGCTAAAAATATGTTAAAACAAAGTTTTGTACTCACTTTGATTTCAAAACATGTCCTTATAATCATGTGAATCAGTCTGGATATTTCTTTGTGGGCCATTTTTCTCTGAGGCCTGTTTCATTCTAAGAACTCCATTAATTTCACCCCAAAATAGGCTACTTTTTCATGCGGGTGGGGGCTTTTCTTAACTCCCCCTCCCAACCAGTGGTGAGATTCAAATAATGTAACCCCGGTTCTCTGCCCTAGTGACCGGTGAGTTGGCGTGTCTGGGTGGGCATGTGACTGGGTGAGTGTGGCCAACTCAACTTCACTACGCCTCACCCAGCCTCTCCCTGCCATGCCTGGCTATGCCTCACCCCTCCGCACCCAGCCGATCCTTGTCAGGCCTAGCTACTAGCCCTGCCGCCCAGCTGAGTGAGTGGTTGGGTGTCCGGGTGAACGGCCGGGCAGTGAAGCGAGGAGTGGCTGGGAGAGGAGGGGCAAGATGGCGCCAGGTGTGGGGAGGGGAGGCACACTATTCAGCTGGTTCGCAGAACTGCACAAAAAGTTAGCAACTGAATCTACTGAACCTGTGTAAACCTATTATTATTATTATCATCACAACAACAGAATTGTATCACAGCAGCCAGTTGTTTCGCCGGATTTGGCATTGATTACTAGTCGGGCCTCACCCAGGGGCCTAGGACGTCGTAACTATTTTTGTAATATGCGTACAGATCCAAGCAGTGCGGCTTTTTGCAATTGACTGATGGAGATTTTATCAATTTTTAACTGTTTTAAATATAATTCCAGTGCTTTTGGATTAGCACCCAGTGTGCCAATTACCACTGGAATTACCACTGCTGGTTTGTGCCATAATCGTTGAATTTCAAGTTTTAAGTCCTGGTATTTCGCGATTTTTTCATGTTCCTTCTCAGCGACCCTGCTATCACCTGGCATTGCAATGTCTATGATTGTAACCTTATTTTTCTCAACCAGTGTGATGTCTGGTGTATTATGCACCAGTATTTTGTCGGTTTGTATACGAAAATCCCACAAGATCTTGACCATCTGATTTTCGGTGACTTTTTCAGGCTGATCTTCCCACCAGTTCGTTGCTGTTTTAATATTATAATTTTTGCACAAATTCCAATGAATCATTTGTACTACTGAATTGTGATGATGATGATGATGATGATGATGATGATGATGATGATGATGATGATTAGCCACTAAATTCCTCCCAAAAATACATTTTTTTAAAAATCCCAGCACGAGCAATTTTGAGATTCTGCTGTAGGCATTTGGGCAGTGTTTCCATTCTTCAAGTAGAGTGTAGAATTCCATTGGATGGCAGTGAAATTCTCTCACTGGCCCGTCCTATTTTTAAGTCTTTTGAAAATTTTAGAAACAAAACAAAAAGATTGACAACTGAGCAGAGTTTAGCTTGGCTATCAAAGAAAAAAACAAAAAAACAATTACGAGAGATATGAGAATGAGAATTCCCTCTTTGGACACACACCCCCCCCCCATTTTAACATTTTATGGGCGGAGTGTAAGAGCTATCATGGGTGGGAACAATGGTGAGTGGGCGGGGCTAGATAAAGCCAGCATTTACCAAGGTTTTGCGATTCAGTTGGGATTATCTTTTTTCAAAAGTCATAATAAATCTTACGCTACCATTTTTGGGTGTGTCTCTGCCTCAGATTTTGGTGGCACCATTGCCTCGTAGGCCAAAAAGAAATGAAACCTTTTCCAGTTTGGAGACATTCATTGCTGCCCTGCTTTGAGAGGTTGTTTTCACAGATACGTGCACAAAATGTTGGCTCTTCCAAAATATTCTAACTCTTTCTTTCCTCCTGTTTATTTTGCAGGTATTCCTTTGGTAAGTGAATATAACTCAGAGCATCGCAAATAGTTGTTTTTTTCAATGCACTTTTCGGGTATGTAATCTTTTTTTAAATTACTCTCTTTTTTCCCTTCCTTTCTAGAAACAGGTATGCCTGTGCCTTAAAGGCCCTAGTTGTCAGATTTTCTAAAGATGCCCTAATTGAATCATAATTATCGAGTCAAGTTTTTAATACAAAACCAGTGATTTATTAGGAGCTCCATTAGGCAAGTTCTGTTCGCAGTCAAGCCTGTGCTTTCTTTGATTTATTTCTGAACTTTCCCCTATTCCTTCCCTCCCCTCAGTCTGTGTCATAATCTGAGATCCGACTCCAGCCAACAGTATGCGTGGAATGTATTCCCCCTCCCTGTCTCCCATGAAAACGCGGGGAGTTGACGGTTCACCAACAAATGTGCACCCAACAAAAGCCCGCCGTCAAAAGCGTGGCGAGAAAACCGCAAGGTCGAAATCGCACTTACAGAAGCGCACCAATGAAAGCGCGCCATCAACAAACAACACAAAAACAACGTAATAACAACGTAATAACCCTAACCCTAAACCTAACCCTAAACCTAACCCTAACCCTAACTCTTACCTTAACCCTAATCTCGCTTTTGTGGGCGCGGTTTTGTCGGCGCTCTTTTGTGGAAGCACTTTTGACGTCGCAGTTTTCTCGCCGCGGTTTTGTCGGTGCGCCTTTGTCGGGCGTGCATTTGACGGGTCACGGGAGTTGACACTAGTTCCGTGACGGTGAACCCAGAGCCTTCTCTACGGGCACGCAAGCCATCACCTTAGCTCAGCTCCACCACACATGCGCATGCGCCTCCCACTGGCTAGCTGGTTTTACGCTCTCTGCTGTGCACGCGCAGGGGCGTGGCAAATGCAGGAGATGCGCCTGCATGCACAGGGGGTTCACGTACGCATATGCGGGGGGGAGCCCATTTAGGTCCCAGGAGACTGCAGGGAGGCCAATTAGGCCCAAAATGGATCGCGGGGGGGGGGTTTGCACGCACATATGCAGGGGGAGCGCGGGGGTCATGTGTGCATGCACAAGGGGTGAGGGGAGCAGGGATGTGTGGTATATCCCATTTTTGCTCCCAGGAGGCTGCAGGGAGGCCTACTAGCCCAAAATGGGGCATAGGGGGAATGTCACACGTGCATGTAGAGGGCGGGGGGAGCGCGGGGGTCATGTGTGCATGCACAAGGGGTGAGGGGAGCAGGGATGTGTGGTATATCCCATTTTTGCTCCCAGGAGGCTGCAGGGAGGCCTACTAGCCCAAAATGGGGCATAGGGGGAATGTCACACGTGCATGTAGAGGGCGGGGGGAGCGCGGGGGTCATGTGTGCATGCACAAGGGGTGGGGCATGGAGGCGGGGTGTCACATGCATATTGCATTATGGGTGCGGGTGCATGAGCTGTCTCGCCCGCATATGCAGACTTTCGGCTCACGGACAACAAGAAGATTCGCCATCACTGCCCTAGTTTCTTATGCTGCCTCCAAGCCCTGCTAGGGTTAGGGTTAGGCACTTTCAGACGGTGTTCCACAAGACTTTAAAAAAAAAATCCACTCAGATGGAGACAATTTGCTAACACCCGAGCTTTGCCTCTTGACCACAGGCAGAATGAGAATTTCGTTTTTCTTTTCTAACTAGCAGGTTCCATGCAGGGTGGATGAAAATCGATTTTAAAAAATAATAATCAAAAAATTATATCTTTTATAAATTTTCTCAATTTCATTTTAATAAAATGGAGACTCTAGAAAGAGTGCAGAGAAGAGCAACCAAGATGATTAGGGGACTGGAGGCTAAAAATATGAAGAACGGTTGCAGGAACTGGGAATGTCTAGTTTAATGAAAAGAAGAACCAGAGGAGACATGAGAGCATCTTTGAATATTTGACGGCTGACAAAGAGGGGTGGGGGTCAAGCTATTTTCCAAAGCACCCGAAGGCCAGACAAGGAATAATGGATGGAAACTGATCAAGGAGAGATTCAACCTGGAAATAAGGAGAAATTTTCTGACAGTGAGACCAATCCATCCATGGAACAGAAATTCCTTCGGAAGTTGTGGGAGTTTCATCACTGGAAGCTTTCAGGAAGAGACTGTACTGCCATCTGTCAGAAATGGTGTAGGGTCTGCTTGGGCGGGGGGTTGGAAAATAGCTTGACCCCCACCCCTCTTTGTCAGCCGTCAAATATTCA